ATGATGGGGCACTGTTCCTCACACTGATACCAATGATGGAGCACTATTCCTCACACTGATACCAATGATGGAGCACTATTCCTCTCACTGATACCAATGATGGACACTATTCCTCCACTGATACCAATGATGGGGCACTATTCCTCACACTGACACCAATGATGGACACTATTCCTCCCACTGATACCAATGATGGGCACTATTCCTCCCACTGATACCAATGATGGGGCACTATTCCTCCCACTGATACGAATGATGGACACTATTCCTCCCACTGATACCAATGATGGGACACTATTCCTCCCACTGATACCAATGATGGGGCACTATTCCCCCCACTAATACCAATGATGGGACACTATTCCTCCCACTGACACCAACAATGGGGCACTATTCCTCCCACTGACACCAATGATGGGGCACTATTCCTCCCACTGACACCAACAATGGGGCACTATTCCCCCCATTGACACCAACAATGGGGCACTATTCCTCCCACTGATACCAATGATGGGGCACTATTCCTTCCACTGACACCAATGATGGGGCAAAATTCTTCTCCCACTGATGCGAACAATGGGAAACTATTCCTCCCACTGATGGAGCACTATATCTCCCATTAATAACGAGGAATTGATTACTCCCACTGATGCCTGGACATTTTCTTCCCCCACTGGCCATAGTCCGGCCCCCCTAAAGTCTGAAGGACAGTAAACTAGCCCTTCATTTATAAAGTTTGGAGACCCCTGCTCTAGAGTATCTGCTTTCAGAAAATCTATCATGTTTGGGGGTTTATGTATTTTTCAGGCCCCAAATGTTTTTTTTTTTTAAAAAACGTGTGCAAAAATGCAACAAAAGCTCTGGCAGTGAAAGGGTTAAAAGCAAACAAAATTTCAAACAACCTTCGTCAAGCCATTGGATGTACTGACAATGTTTGTATGAATCTCATATTGGTACAAATATATTTGGTACAAATTTTGGATTGAAGATCTCCTAGTGTATAGGTAGCTTTACAGAGAATCTACGGGGGACCAGAATCAGAACACTGGTAAATTAGTAATGATGTCAGCGCCCCCTACTGGAATCTCCATGGAAATACTCAGAGCTGAACCTCTCACAGCACCCCTTCCTAGTTCAGACACACAAAAAAAAGAGGGGGGGGGGGGGGTAGACCTGTTAGGGGTTAAAACCCAAGATGACAAAGAAAAAAAAAATCTGTTTTTTTTTTAGGCTGATGTTTGTAGAAGCATGACACTGACAGTAGCCTGCAGAGGAGAAAAATGTAGTTTTTACCACTTCAATACTGGGCACTCACCCCCGTTCCTACCAATTTTCAGCTTTCAGCGCTGTCACACTGAATGACAATTGTGCGGTCATGCAACATTGTACCCAAATGAAAATATGAAAATATCATTTTGTTTAAATAGAGCTTTCTTTTTGTGGCATTTAATCACCAGTTTTTCTTTTTTGATGAACCAAAAAAAAAAAAAAAAAACCTGAAAATTAAAAAAAAAAAAAAAACAAATGCATTTTTTTCTTAATTTCTATTATAAAAATTTTGCAAATAAATAATTGTGCTCTATAAATTTAGGCCAACCTGTATTCTTCTACATTTCTTTGGTGAAAATAACCCAAATTAGTATATTATCTAGTCTGTTGGAAAGAGTCCACAAACTATGGGATATATCTGAAAATTGATCAGTCCTGATGTGCTGATGGCCAATCTCATTTCCTGAGGCCCTAAATTACCCCTTTTTTGGAAAGTAGACAGTCCAAGGTATTTAGTAAGAGGCATGGTATTTTTGTAAATCATAAATGCATTGGTATATGATTAGGTGTTAGCAGCTCCCAAAGGTTAGGAGGTACTTTAGTTAGGAGCACAGGAGGATCACACCATTATAGTATTTTTGAAGTTGTAATTTTTTTAATATAACTTTTGGAAAAAAAACTTTGACATCTTGCTTACTACTTTGCATGTGATCACTGGATTGCGGTGGTGCGCGCTCCCAGGAAGCGCGCACAGCTAGAAAAGGCGGGTGTAGTTTAGGAACGGCAACCTGCCCCTGGACTGCCATCGCCCTGCCGTTTATAAACAGCAGGCGGACGGCAAGAGGTTAACCGATTATCTAGTGCAAATTTTCCATTGTTTCCTAAATAAATTGTTAATACTGCACTTAGAGGCGCCTTCCTCTCTTTTTCTTGTCCCTGCAGTAAACCTGTCTCAGACCTGGGCAATGCAAAGTAAAGATATGGTGAAAAATGTACATAAGGAGATGTTCGGTTCAGATCGATCTCTAGCATATGACAATCATAGGAGTCTTAGACGCCTTTGACTCTGTTGCGGCCTCATCATCCGACCCCGATGTCACAAGACTCAGCAGTGATGTAGGTTTTCGGAGAATTGGGCCTCAGTATGCAAAAATGCTTTGGAGAGCTTAGTGGTTAGTGGGGATTTTTTCATTACAAAAAAAAAAAAAAAAAAAAAGAAAAAAAATTAGAAAGAATGCAGCAAATTATTTCTCTAAACACTCCGTGCTGGAATGCAGACAGGAACACCGGTTCCAGTGAAGAATGGCAATGTCCTGCACTGACTAGTAGAATGTGAAAGGCCTGTGACTAATATACACCAAATGTCCAGGAGACCCTCTGTCAGTTATGGTTTAAGTTATGTATAGAAGTGGAGCAAACCTGCTAGGAAGGTTTAAATGGCATGCAAGACTTGTAACGCTGGAAGCCTTACCACTATATGATTTTTGTGCCTGGATAGTAACAAGCCGGTGCTCTAAAACTATCAACTATGGACTTTACAACTTCAACCACCCTTGCTTTTTAATATATTTATAAACCATATGGGGTCTGAGATTATAAATCCCATTTCAGTCTTTGCAGATGACACCAAGCTGTGCCGTGGAATAACGTCCTTACAGGATGTCTCCAATTTACAAGCCGACCTCAATGCTCTGTGTAATTGGGCAACTATGTGGCAAATTTATTTATTTATTTATCGAGTTTATATAGCGCCAAAGGGTTTGCTCAGCGCTGTACAATAGAGGGGGGACAATACATGAAACAGAACAGTATCATCAAACAGCACACGAGGGGTTAGAGGGCCCTACTCTTTCGAGCGTACAATCTAGGAGGGAGGGGGTAGAGGCACAGGAGGAAATGGCTGTGGGGGATGGAGTGGTAGGAGGAGGGAAGGGCAGCGGCTGTTAGGTGAGGGTGGGGTAGGCTTCCCTGAAGAGGTGGGTTTTCAGGGAGCGCCTGAAGGTGAGGAGGGAAGGTGACAGTCTGATGGATTGGGGTAGTGAGTTCCAGAGGATGGGGGAGGACCTGGAGAAGTCTTGCAGTCGTGCGTGGGAGGAGGAGACCAGGGAGCAAGATAGAAGGAGGTCCTGTGAAGAGCGAAGGGTACGGGTAGGGTGGTACCTGGGAATCAGGTCGGTGAGGTAGTTATGAGATTTCATGTTGATAAATGTAAGGTTCTGCACTTGGGGGCTAAGAATATGCATGCATCATACATACTGGGGGGGTACAACTGGGGGGATCAATGGTGGAGAAGGATCTGGGGGTTCTGGTAGATCACAAGCTTAATAATGGCATGCTTCTAAAGCGAGCAAAATCCTCTCTTGTATTAAAAGAGGTATAGACTCCAGAGAGAGATACCATACAGTATTACCCCGGTACAAATCATTAGCAAGACCTCATCTGGAATATGCAGTTCAGTTTTGGGCACCAATTCACAAAAAGAACATTGGGAACTGGAAAAGTGGAAGAAAAACTGTACAGAGAAGGGGGAAGATTAGAGGAACAACCAAACTGATAAGAGGCATGGAGGATATGATCAGCTCCATGAAGAAATGATTAGAGGAACTGAATTTATATGATCTCTCTTGAGAAGAGGGGGGAGATTAAGGGGGGGGATATGATATGATCTCCATGTATAATACTCCATGTATAATACATAAGGGGGGATATGATCTCCATGTATAATACATAAGGGGGGGGGATATGATCTCCATGTATAATACATAAGGGGGGATATGATCACCATGTATAATACATAAGGGGGGATATGATCTCCATGTATAATACATAAGGGGGGATATGATCTCCATGTATAATACATAAGGGGGGGATATGATCTCCATGTATAAATACATCAGTGGTTCATATAGTGAACTCGGTGTAGAGTTATTCCCCCTGAGGTCATCACAGAGGACAAGGGGCACTCTTTACGTCTGGAGGAAAAGAAATGTAATCTCCAAACGTGGAAAGGTTTCTTCACAGTCAGAGCTGTGAAAATGTGGAATAGACTCCCTCAAGAGTTGGTTCTGGCCAGCTCAGTGGATTGCTTCAAAAAAAAGTCCTGGATTGTTTCTTGGATACACAGAATATAACTGGATATAACATTTATAGGTAAAGTTGATCCAGGGAATATCCGGTCGCCTCTCGGGGGATTAGGAAGGAATTTTTTCCCAGCAGGAGCAAATTGGATCATGCTTTGCTGGGTTTTTTTGCCTTCCTCTGGATCAACTGTGGGTATAGGATTATAACTTTTTTTTTCTATGGTTGAACTGGATAGACTTTCGTCTTTTTTCAGCCGGACTAACTATGTAACAAGAGATCCCGTAGCCTCATCACAAGTATTAGCCTGTATGGCTCCCATACAGAGCTCTCATGGACAGAATATTTGGCAAGCAAGACAGATTAATGTTTATAAAAATACATCTTTAATTAATGAAACCACCATGTCAGTTTTGAGCCTTTTACAAAACGGATGAGATGTGTGCCTTCCCCAACAATAGCCAAACACTCATAACAGTGATCAATGCTTCCCAAGCAGTCCAGGCACAGTTAATGGAAGGAGCAAGAAGGCCGGCACAAAACAATAACATGACCATCTCCCATCCAGGGCCGGCAATGACAGGTAAGGGAGATACCGGCATCCTCTGCACAGCTCAGAGCAGTCCAGTCTGTATAGGAGAGAACAAGGCCCATCACTTCTTCTGGAAGAACCCCATGATAGAAGCTTGCTTCGTCCCCTTGCTGACAGCAGGCGCTTTCTTTGAGGTTTTAGTCTCAGCTTTTGTATTTGGTTTAGAGGTGGCAGCCGAGGTGAAGGGATTGCCTGCGGCTGGCCTGGATGTGGCAAACTCCTCTCCGCTGTCTGTGCAAGACTCACTCTCGTAGACCTTTTCTGTCACTGGACAACACAGAGAAAGAGGTCAACTGCTACCTGCGCTGTAGAACTGGTTTTCACTATGCCTTTTAGATTTGTTTTAGACATACACATAATATGGTCGGGTTTATAGTAGATCTCTCTCTCAAAAAAAAAATTTAAATATGAACGTCTATAAAAAAAAAAAAAAAAAAAAAAAAAAAGATAAGCAGCCCAAAAAAAGAATTTTGATTGCCCCGCCTACCTTTCAGGGTCACTTTCCAGGAGTAATCACTTGGACCATGTGAGGGCCCCTGCAAACTTACATGAATAACATGTGGCAAGGAAACACCAAGGTGGACAGAGCCACTCGTGTCATGTATGGTCATGGAAGGTGATTAGAGGAAATTCATGTTTGACACTAAATGTTGAGCTTTTACTAGGCACATGATGAGGAGAGTCTACAGTATTCAGGCCAGTCATTGCCTCTTTCTGCTCCTTACCCATACAGCCATCCTCATCCAGGAATTGCTTTGATTTCAGAACTCTCCTACGCTTTCTCCTCTTCTCTCCAGCCTGTGTCTAACGGAGGAGAAAAAAAAAAATTATATAAGCTCTCGGGAAAAAAAAAATAAAAGGATTTGCACCCTAAATATATAAAAAATTAAACAACACAAAAATTGGGTACTAAATGGCCAGAAATGACTTAAATCCTTAACCCCGTACATAGATATGTGGCAGTCTGCCGTGCAGCTAGTGTCACCATTCTGTGTTGGAAGCAGGCTCACCCAGAGGCCCCAGTACTGTGACCACGTTGTCAATGACAGCTCCAGGTCACCATTGATAATTGGGAAATGGTGGCACATGCTCCCGATCACATGGTTAGGAAGTCCTTGTAACACCTACAGCATTACAAACACTTAAAAGGCCAGCTGCCACCAGGTGGAAGGGGTTAATGTCGCATCAACATTCCATTACAGAGGCCTCACCTGTGGCTGCGTCTCAGTCTCCATCTTTACAGCAGGCTCCGGCGGAGGGGACGGCGTCTTCACATCCGGCACAAGAACCTCTACGAGAAGGAATACAGAGAGGGAAAAGACCAGACAGCTTAGGATTCATAATCCTGTACAAAGATATATTGTCACAACATGTATGGAAAAGGCAAAGATTTGATATCGTTTAGAACTCCATAGTTGACCTGTGGTTTTTTACCTTCTTCTATATGGTCCAGGGGTGGACTGACAACTCATGGGGCCCCCGGGCAATAGGAAATCCTGGGGCCCGTGTCCTCACCCACACTCAAACCACATGCAAAAAAGCCTATGAAAGGTACCAGGGGCATCTCATGGGGCTCCCAACTGACCCCGGGCCCTCGGGCAGTGCCTGAGTGGCCAAATGGTCAGTCTGCCCCTGATACGGCCTCTTCTGTAACATACAAATCAGCGTGGTGTACAATTCCACCCATTTGTGAAGTTCTTTCTACCTTTTCCATACAGTACATCACAGACCAATGCTGTGTCTGTACAGGAAATGAAACCTGGAACAGGGTGGACATTACGTATCAGAGATTGAAGGGTGTGCAATTAGAGAAGAACGGTCACACATAATCAAAGGCAGCTTTAAGAGCTCATGTACACGGAGCGTGTGGAAAACTCTTCTGAACGTTGGAAATTGACTGCTAGAAAACGTAGGTTAAAAAACATCAGTTTAGCCGCGTTTGTATACCGCGTTTGCGTTTAAAAGCGTTTTTAAAAGATAACCTCAGAAGACCTTCCAAAATGCCAGAATGCACTGACAAATAGTAAATAATTAACTATTTCAGACATTTTGAGAGAAATAGAGAGCAGAAGCAGAGAGAGCAGTATGTGTTGCAATGACCTGTCTTTTCTGGTTGTATTCACTATGGATCCCATCATGAGCATAATGCGGTGCGTTCTACCATTTTATCCTTCACACGAAACCTGGAACTGACTGCGCTGGTGTACCGGGTCCATTTGAATACATGGAAAATGCTTTGCATGCATTTCTGATGAAGAAAGGCTCTAGACAGCATCTGGATATGGACCTGTCAAAAAACGCTTCTAAACACAAACGTGGGTAACCGCATTTACAAGTGTTTGAAACGCCGGTAAAATCTACTCCTGAACGCAATTTTGGTGCGTTCAAGAAAATGACTGTAGACTCAACTGCCTGTAACTGAAGATGTGTACATGGACACATAGGAAAACTTTAGGGAGAGTTCAGGGGCTGCTGAAAAAAAACGGTCAACAGATCCTGAATGTCAGTTTCGCAGCTGCAGTGTACATGAGCCCTAAGTCCTGTGCCCAAGCCGACAGGGAGGAGGACTGTTAGTAAACAAATGAGCCCTCCTCCCCATCAGAGATACTCGGTAATCACTGGTCAGAACCCGGTGATTGACAGCCGCGGCTGCGCATGGCGACACGAAAATCAAAGTGAAAAAATTATTATTAATTGTATGCATGCCTGACATTGTCGGGGGAGGCTCCTAATGAGGCAACGGATGGTGTCCTGGGGTATATCCTCCCAGATCTGGACCAGGACATCGCTGAGCTCCTGGACAGTCTGAAGTGCAATCTGATGGTGTCGGATGGACTGAAACATGATATCCCAGAGGTTTTCTATTGGATTTAGGTCAGTCAATTGTGGGGTCCATTCACTGGTATCAATTCCTTCATACTCCAGGAACTTCCTGCATACTCTCGCCACATGAGGCCGGGCATTGTCCTGCACCAGGAGGAACCCAGGACCCACTGCACCAGTGTAGGGTCTGACAATGGGTCCAAGGATTTTATCCCGATACCTAATGGCAGTCAGGGTGCCATTGTCTAGCCTGTAGAGGTCTGTGCATCCCTCCATGGATATGTCTCCCCAGACCATCACTGACCCACCACCAAAACAGTCATGCTGAACGATGTTACTGGCAGCATAATGTTCTCTCACGTCTGTCACGTGCTCAGGGAAAACCTGCTCTCATCTGTGAAAAGCACAGGGCACCTTTGGAGGACCTGACAGTTCTGGTGTTCAATGGCAAATGTCAATCGAGCTCTATGGTGCTGGGCAGTGAGCACAGGGGCCACTAGAGGACATCGGGCCCTCAGGCCACCCTCATGAAGTCTGTTTGTTTGGTCATAGAAATTCACACCAGCGGCCTGCTGGAGGTCATTTTTGGGCTCTGGTAGTGCTCACCCTGTTCCTCATTGTACAAAAGGAGCAGATACCGGTCCTGCTGATGGGTCCAGCTCTACTAGAGTAACTGGATATTGTATGTACTCTCCAGCGCCTCAGGATATGCACAGCCAAAAGGGAAGCCAGGGGTACCAGGACAGCGACAACCAAAGGAAATGGTTCAGGGGTGCAGCCCTCCTCAGACGGGGAGATCAGCCACTAAATAAAGAGAAGGAGAGAAAACAGGTGGCGCACACACCTAGTGCATTATCCAAGGTTTATTGAAAGGAGTGAACAATATGTTTTTATTTTTCACTCCTTTCAATAAACCTTGGATAATGCACTAGGTGTGTGCGCCACCTGTTTTCTCTTTATCTACTAGAGTAACTGCCTGTCTCCTGGAATCTCCTCCATGCTCTTGAGACTGTGCTGGGAGACACAGCAAACCTTCTAGCAATGGCACGTATTGATGTGCCATCTTGGAGGAGTTGGACTACCTGTGCAACCTCTGTAGGGTCCAGGTATGGCCTCATGCTACCAGTAGTGACACTGACCCTAGCCAAATGTAAAACTAGTGAAAAACAGTCAGAAAAGATGAACAAGGAAAAAAAATGTCAGTGGCCTCCACCTGCAACACCATTCCTGTTTTGGGGGTCATCTCATTGTTGCCCATCTAGTGCACCTGTTGTTAATTTCATTATCAAAGCAGCTGAAACTGATTAACTACTTGCCAACCGCAGATAGCCGAATGATGGCTACACTGCGGCCGGCCAGTTCTGGGAGAGCGTCATATGACGTCCTCCCAGAACGCACTCTCCTGCGCGCCCTGGTGCGCGCACCGGCGATCTCCGTGATTGCTGTGTCCTACAGACACAGCTGATCACGTGATGTGGTAAAAGGCCAATCACAGCGGCCTTTTACCACGTGATCAGCCATGTCCAATGACACGCTGATCACTGGGAAATGCAATTGCCGGTTCTCGGCTGCACTTTCCTCATGCTGTCAGAACGCGAGGAAAGAACTGCCGAGAACCAACAGTTGTCAGAGCAGGGATCGGTGCCCAGCAGTGTCACCCACCAGTTCCGCCCACCTGTGCCTAGCAATGCAACCACCTGTGCCCAGCAGTGCCGCCCACTCACCTGTGCCCACAAGTGCCACCCACCAGTGCCCATCTATGCAGCACTGCCAGTCAGTGCCACCAGTTAGTGCCCAGCGGTTGCGCCAGTCAATGCCCAGCAGTTGCGCCAGTCAATGCCCAGCAGTGCCGCCATTCAGTGCCCAGCAGTGATGCCAGTCAGTGCCACCTATCATTGCCGCCTATCCGTGACACCTCATTAGTGCTGCCCATCAGTGCCCTTCAGTGCTGCCCATCAGTGCCCTTCAGTGCTGCCCATCAGTGCCCTTCAGTGCTGCCCATCAGTGCCCTTCAGTGCTGCCCATCAGTGCCCTTCAGTGCTGCCCATCAGTGCTGCCTCATCAACGCACATCAGTGAAGGAGAAAAATTACCTGTTTGAAAAATTTTATAATAGGAACAAAGAAGAAAAAAAAATTTCAAATTTTTTGCAATTTTTTTGTTTATAGCGCAAAAAGTAAAGTGCACAGCGGCGATTAAATACCACCAAAAGGAAGCTCTATTTGGGAGAAAAAAATGATAAACATTTCATATGGGTACAATCTTGCATGACCGCGCAATTGTCAATCAAAGTGCGACAGTGCTGAAAGCTGAAAATTGGCCTGGTAAAGAAGGGGGTATAAGTGCCCCGTAGGCAAGGGGTTAACAACCCCCTCTGCTACTTACCTGACCAGATCAATATCCCAGGAGTTTCATTGAATTGATGCTAGACCTCTGATTAAAGTGTTCCTTTAATTTTTCTGAGCAGTGTATATATTTTCCAAACAATTGGGTATTATATTGTGTTTTGGTGCATTAAAATTAATTCAAGAGTATTTTTCCTAAAAAACAATGCGTTTGAAAAAAACGATGTGAAAAGAACACGTGACAAATTGCAACACCTGCCATTTCATTCTCTAGGGCCACTGATTAAAAAATACATAAAATGCTTGAGGATGTAAACAAATTGCAGATGTTTACATGAAAGAGAGAAATGTCAGAATTGTCCCAGTAGGCAAGTGGTTAACGAAAGATGCACGTTAAAAAAAAAAAAAAATACTGAAAGTGACTTTTAACCACTTCAAGTCCGGACACTTTCCCCCCCTTCCAGTCCAGGCCAATTTTCAGCTTTCAGTGCTATCACACTTTGGATGACAATTGCGCGGTCATGCAACACTGTACCCATATGAATTTTTTATCATTTTTTTGAGACAGATAAAACTTTATTTTGGTGGTATTTATTCACCACTGGGATTTCTATTTTTTTCGCTATATAAATGAAAATGTCCAAACATTTTTTTAAAAAAGTGTTTTTCTTATAACATTTTGCAAATAAATAATCTTTCTTCATAAATCTTAGGCCGAAATGTATTCAGCTTTTTAGTAAAAAAAAAAAAAAAAAAAAAAACCCAAATTAGTTTATAACCAAAAATTATAATGTTTTAAAAAAAATTAACATTTTTATTTTTTTAAATTATTTATGTGTTTTTAACATACTGTCACCCTAGCAGTACAGTGTCACCACAGTGACACTGTACTGCTAGGGTGACAGTTTTTTTTTTTTTTTCTTTACATTGATTGCTTTTACACCCATAAAAGGCTGTAAAAGCAATAATTTCTCCTCTCTGGCTGCATTCTTGCAGCCATTGAGAAATACTGTGTGAGCTGAGATTGGTCACAGCTTGTCACATGGTACAAGGCTGTTATGAATAGCCCTGTACCATGTGATCATTCACAGATTTCACACGTAGTAAGCAATGATGTCACAAGTGACATCTTGCTTACTACTCTGCATGTGATCACTGATTGGCCAATCAGTGATCACATGATCGGGACCTCACACAGAGGTCCCGTACAATGATCGGTATTCCACTGTGTCTGGAGGACACAGCGGGCACCGGATCGCGGTGCTGCGTGCTCCCAGGTAGCGTGCACAAGCAGGAAGTGGGGAGGCAGTTTATAAATGGCCACCCGACCCTGCACTACTCCCGTCTGGCCGTTTATATACATGGGCCGGACGGGAAGTGGTTAAATATTGGATGAGAGTATTCTTTTAGGACCTACTCCAGATCTTTAAAGGGGAAGATTGATATCCACCTGGATGAGGATTGCTGGTTCTATGATTTACATTTTCATCTCCCATTTGAGCGCGCACAAGCAGGAAGCGGGGAGGCCGTTTATAAATGGCCACCCGCCCCTGCACTGCCACCGTCCGGCCGTTTATATACATAGGCCGGATGTGAAGTGGTTAAAATAAAACACTAAGGTTATGGGGGGTGTTGTAATTGGGTTCAAACTTTGAAAACTGAGATATATTTTAATTTCATCCTAAAAACGCAGTCCACCCTGACCAAAGCACACAGCAACATTGGGCTAAATGCAGTGATAGAAGATAGGCCATCGCGGGTGTAAGAGCCGCTCCAGCTTCACCAAGCACATCTAGCTAAGCTCATGTGACAGGCAGCGAATCGGTGACCTTTTCCAGCTCAGCATAAAGTGACACTGTGGGATAAATGAACGTGTAACAAAAAAGGGACATGAACAGAGATACAGTGGCCCAGGGCCGAGCTCACTGCGGAGCTGGGGGGAGGCTCGGGGCCCCAAACTATGCAGGGAGGCACTTAAGCTGCTAACTTTACACTGGGCACAGCAGCCGCTGCCAGCTCTCGTTAATACGACTGGGTATGAATCCCAGAGCTCGGCGGGACGGTGAAGAATGAAAACAAGACATCAAACGCAAAGCTGGTGTGACGGTCTCCCCCAGGCGACGTGGGCCCCGACGAGCACAGAAACAAACACTTGATCTTTGATGGGATGAATGGCCTTGTTTTGGCAGGCGGCGCTGCGGGAAGTGACAGGGAGCACAGTAAACAGTGTGTGGGTGTGATACGACGACTGAAGGAGTCCCATTTACCTCAGCAGAGAACCTTTACGCTATCTGACGGAACAGGAGCGGCGTCAGCAACTCACCATCCTCCTCGTCGCTGCTGTCGGGTCTGGGCTGTTTGATCCTACGCCTCTTTTTCACCAGCTTCACCTCTTCTTCGTCGCTGTCTGACATTTCTGCCCTCTTAAGCCTGCTGAGTAGAAAATAACAAACTCAGCGATTTAAAGCCAAACTCCGGGAACATATAAAAAAAAAAAAAAAAAAAAAAACACAAATAACGCAGCTCGGTATTCAATAATACATCATTAAATGTTTTTTGTTTTGTTTTTTTTTAAATGCCAGAGAGGAGGAATAAAGTATAATAAAAGGTGTTCCTTACCTTGTCACAAATGCTGGCCTTTTGCTTTTTAAGTGCATTCTGTAATTTCCCCACAAACGTGGCCTGCACCCCTCCTGTATCTTGTTATTCCAATTTGTGTGAAAGGGTGCCGCTAATTTTGCCTTTATGAAGAAATGGATCCCTGTCATAACCTCTGTGAAGTTTACAGAAGAAGCAGTGATGTGCTTACACCATGTCTTATCCTTCCACAATGCCCAGCCACGACCTGTCCACCGCCATTGATTGGCAGCTACGCCTTGGGTATATAGCCCTGTCCACCCACATCAGTGAATGCCCACAGTATCATGAGAAGTGTAGTTCTGATTTCACACTAGCTTAAAGAAGACCCTAAACCAAGCGCCATATTGCCTCCTCCCTCAATTGTTTTGTTTAAAGAGATTTGTTTCAGCTGCAAGTAAGATTTTCTGCATTTCTCACCTAGGTGAAAATGTCATTTGTGTCCCTCACCAATCCACCTCTTGCTATCTGCGCATCAGCAGATGTGCCACAGAGCTTCGGGTCCCATGTGAGCACTGCAGCAAGCCTGCGCACACACACGTTTCCTCAGACAGCTGTGTACGGAAGCCGCAAAGTCAACTATTATGGAAGTCCCAAACCCTTGCGGTCTTTGAGCATGCACAAGAAATCTCCAGCACGTGCCCAGATGTGCCAAAGGGCTCTGCCAGAACCTTTTGACACATCTACACACGTCAAAATGGCGGCACCTACTTCCTGTAGTGAAACTGTCACCGAGCGCCGATCCTCCTGCAGTGAAACCGCCGCCGAGCGCGATCCGCCTGCAGTGAAACCGCCGCCGATCCGCCGCAGTGAAACCGCCGCCGAGCGCCGATCCGCCTGCAGTGAAACCGCTGCCGAGCTCCGATCCGCCTGCAGTGAAAGCTCCGATCCGCCTGCAGCGAGGTCCGCCGAGCGCCGATCGGCCTGCAGTGAAACCTCCGCCGATCCGCCTGCAGTGAAACGCCGCCGAGCGCCGATCCGCCTGCAGTGAAACCGCCGCCGAGCGTCGATCCGCCTGCAGTGAAACCGCCACCGAGATCCGCCTGCAGTGAAACCGCCGCCGAGCGCCAATCCGCCTGCAGTGAAACCGCCGCCGAGCGCCAATCCGCCTGCAGTGAAACCGCCGCCGAGCGCCAATCCGCCTGCCGATCCGCCAAGCGCCGATCGGCCTGCAGTGAAACCGCCGCCGATCCGCCTGCAGTGAAACCGCCGCCGAGCGCCGATCCGCCTGCAGTGAAACCGCCGCCGAGCGCCGATCCGCCTGCAGTGAAACCGCCGCCGAGCGCCGATCCGCCTGCAGTGAAACCGCCGCCGAGCGCCGATCCGCCTGCAGTGAAACCGCCGCCGAGCGCCGATCCGCCTGCAGTGAAACCGCCGCCGAGCGCCGATCCGCCTGCAGTGAAACCGCCGCCGAGCGCCGATCCGCCTGCAGCGAGGTCCGCCGAGCGCCGATCCGCCTGCAGCGAGGTCCCGCCGAGCGCCGATCCGCCTGCAGCGAGGTCCGCCGAGCGCCGATCCGCCTGCAGCGAGGTCCGCCGAGCTCCGATCCGCCTGCAGCGAGGTCCGCCGAGCTCCGATCCGCCTGCAGCGAGGTCCGCCGAGCTCCGATCCGCCTGCAGCGAGGTCCGCCGAGCTCCGATCCGCCTGCAGCGAGGTCCGCCGAGCTCCGATCCGCCTGCAGCGAGGTCCGCCGAGCTCCGATCCGCCTGCAGCGAGGTCCGCCGAGCTCCGATCCGCCTGCAGCGAGGTCCGCCGAGCTCCGATCCGCCTGCAGCGAGGTCCGCCGAGCTCCGATCCGCCTGCAGCGAGGTCCGAGCTCCGATCCGCCTGCAGCGAGGTCCGCCGAGCTCCTCCGCCTGCAGCGAGGTCCGCCGAGCTCCGATCCTCCTGCAGCGAGGTCCGCCGAGCTCCGATCCTCCTGCAGCGAGGTCCGCCGAGCTCCGATCCGCCTGCAGCGAGGTCCCCCCGAGCTCCGATCCTCCTGCAGCGAGGTCCGCCGAGCTCCGATCCTCCTGTAGCGAGGTCCGCCGAGCTCCGATCCTCCTGTAGCGAGGTCCGCTGAGCTCTGATGCTCCTGTAATGAAATCACCACCAAGCTCCAATCCTCCTTGTAGCGAGGTCCGCCGAGGTCTCCGATCCTCCTGTAGCGAGGTCCGCCGAGCTCCGATCCTCCTGCAGCTCCGCTCCGATAGCGAGGTCCCGATCCTCCTGTAGCGAGGTCCGCTGAGCTCTGATGCTCCTGTAATGAAATCACCACCAAGCTCCAATCCTCCTTGTAGTGAAGTACACTGAGCTCCGATCCTCCTGTGGTGAAATCACCACTGAGTTCAGTTTGTCCTGTAGTGAAGGCCACTGAGCTCCAACTTCGTGTAGTGAGTGACAACACAGCACCACTGCTAAACTGTAATCCCAAAAGTGTTGTCCAAGCAGCTCCACCCAGTTTTCTTCTGTTGACTATAGAACATGCACTCCTATCCACATTATTCAATAAGGAGGAGGAAGGCATTTGTAGTACAAATCAAGAGAGCAGCATAGGGTGATGATGTTACGAGCACGCACATACACACAACAGCATTGTCAACCTAGGACAGGAAGTGTGTTACCGGCAGGATCACCAGTTAAAAATACAAGGAATAAAAGCATGAAAACAGAAAACTAATGCAGCCACCACATCAAATGCCTGATAGGCTGCTATATGTTACATTGCTGCCCTTGGGTTGATGGGATTCAAAAACACTTCAAACAAAGTTACAAAGTCACCTCTTCTTCTCTTTTTCTGGCGCTTTTTTGTCTTTAACTTCTTTTGGTTCTGGAGGTGGCACTTCAATTGGCTGAGCTGCTGGTTTCTCCTCTTTTACCGGCTCGTTGGTTGGAGTGCTCTCTTTGGGTTTATCTAAGAATGAGTGTTATACAAGAGTCAGTCCCAGGAGGACAATCATAGAACAGAATACATAATATAGCTGGACAGAGCTCTGGAATGTTCCCCATATGTGAGCACCAGATTGTAGATCAATAAGACACAAGCAGGGACTTCACACAACACTTGAGCATCAGTATTAAACCACTTGCCCTCCCCCCCCCCCTTCATAGCAGAAATACTGTTACAGGGCGGCAGGGCTGCGCAAAATCTTGTATATATACACATGTGGTTTGCACTTCCAGGTAGGGGGCGTGCACGCGCCGCCCTACCCGCACCCCTATTGGCAGCTACAGATGTCAATCACCAGGTCCGACACTCAGCGATCGTCGGGGAAAGCCGGCATGGGAGAGACCTGTGTGTAAACAGCACAGATCTCTCTCCTGTCAGCACAGACATGCTGCTGTGTATCTCTCTGCAGAGTATGTCTCCCTATTAACTACACACAGCACACAGTTAACCCTTTGATCGCCCCAGATGTTAACCCCTTCCTGCCCAGTGCCATTAGTACAGTGTCAGTGCTTTTCATCACTGTATTAGTGTCACTGGGGATGTCGGTGGCAGTTAGTTCCCACTCAGTGTTGGAATGCCTGCCGTAGTCCCGCTACAAGTCGCTTATCGCCGCCATAACTTTCACATAAACCAATTATTTTACACGTATTGGGATTTTTCTTCAGCAAAGACACGGAGAATACATTTTGGTCTAAACTGATAATGTAATGTTTTTGATTTTTTTTTTTTTTTATTGGATAGGTTTTATAGCAAAAAGTCAAAAATATATATTTTTTTTTACTTATAGAGCAAAAATTAAAAAGCGCAGAGGCGATCAAATACCACCGAAAGAAAGCTCTATTTGTGGGGGGAAAAATTACATATTTCATTTATGTACAGCGTTGCATGACCACGCAATTGTCAAATTAACACAGTGCCGTATCACAAACAATGGCCTGGTCAGGAAGGGGGGTAAATCCTCTGAAGGGCAAGTGGTTAAGAAGTCAAAGTAGGGGGGTTCCTGTTCCAGTGACCACGCAGGAAGTGGGTGGAAAATCTACCTAAATGCTACAGACACAGTGCTGGAGGTGCTAGAACAAAAAAAAAAATCCCTGTTTACTTATTCCACAGTTCAGCTTCAAACACAAAGTCAATAAAAAGGGACTACTTACTTAGTGATGCTTTGCCAAAGAAGTTGTCCATAGGTCTGGACTTGGTGGATGATTTGCTGCTCGTTTCTGGCACCTGTAGAAAACAGACGCATGGAAGGGTGTAAAGGTGTCACCTACAAATCACAGGACAACTGTAAACATGCATCTAAACCCAAGAACAAACTAATACATTGCTGACAGGCTGCTTGGCATTATTTTCTCCTGGTGATCCTACCAGTAACACCTCCTGTCCAAGGGTGACAACACTAACTAACTGCACTGTATCTAAGAAGGAGCATTGTCACCGTAGAACAGGAAGTATTAGGACTACAAACATCTCCCACTCACACTCTTCTCCACAAATTAAAAGCGTAGTTTTCAGTCAGTCAGCAGCTACAAAAACTTAAACAGCCACTCATCTGTCCTAGGATCCATTGGTGTGCTCACTGCAGCCAGGTTCACCGGCTGTCCTGTGTCCCCGACGCCGGCATCTTAAGTGTGGGCACCTGGATGTGAGAGCTTGCAGCTTCACAGCCGGGTGCACACTGCGCACCCGGCTGAAACTCCGTGTTGCTCAGCGACCGCCCCCCGAAACCTGACAGATCTAGAGGAGATCTGTGTGGAGGAGTGGGCCAAAATCCCTGTTGCAGTGCAAACCTGGTCAGGAACTACAGGAAACGTTTGACCTCTGTAATTGCAAACAAAGGCTTCTGTACCAAATATTAACACGGATTTTCTCAGGTGTTCAAATACTTCTGTTCAGCAGTGCAAGACAAATACATTCTTTACAAATCATACAATGTGATTTCCTGAATGTTTTTTTAAATTCTGTCTCTCAGAGTGGGAATGCACCTACAATGTGAACTTCAGACCCCTCCATGATTTCTAAGTGGGAGAACTTGCAAAATCGCAGGGGGTTCAAATACTTCTGTTCCTCACTGTATATACAGACCTGTCATGTGTCTCAGAGGACTGCAGGGGGCGGCCACGGAGGAGAACTTCTCTGCTTCTGATAGTAGTGCGCATCTGTCAAAATCTGCACCCACTCCCCAAAGGTGCCAACCCTTAATACCTGGTTCACATGTGTCTCAGAGGATTGCAGGAGGCAGCCACGGAGGAGAACTTCTCTGCTTCTGATCGCAGTGGGAGTGGGTACCTGTCAAAATCTGGCACCCACTCCCCAAAGGTACCAATCATTAATACCGGGTTCACATATGTGTCTCAGAGGATTGCAGGAGGTGGCCACAGAGAAATTCTCTGCTTCCAATCGCAGTGGGAGTGGGTACCTGTCAAAATCGGGTACCCACTCCCCAAAGGTGCCAATCCTTAATACCTGGTTCACATATGTGTCTCAGAGGAGTGCAGGGGGCGGCCACGGAGGAGAACTTCTCTGCTTCCGATCGCAGTGGGAACCTGTCAAAATCGGGTACCCACTCCCCAAAAGGTACCAGTCCTTAACCCCTGGTTCACATATATGCAGCCGTACGGGCCGTGATTTGTGCAGGCACGAGTCCATTCATTTGAATAGACTCCCATGCCCCAGGACATGCAGGGAAGAAGTCCCTGCACTACTTGGGAAATCGCAACCCACATGGGAACCTCGGTTTCCAGTACGGTTACGATTTCCAGTGCAGGCGGCATGCCATTAGCGAATGGCACCTGCCTGCAAGTCCTGCATTCCCCTGCGTGGGTGGTGCGACTGCAGGTATTTGTTCGAGTCTCGCAGCGGCACAAACCGCACAGATGTGATCCAAGGCTCATGGGAAGCGGGGGACAAAGTCTTAAAGTGGAACTTCCCCTTTTGGGTGGAGCTTTAAGTGTTCTGTAGTCCACACAAGAGAATGCAAAAGAGCTGCTTGGACACGGTCTGTGATACCAGTGCAGCTAAAGGTTCTGTAGTCTCCAAAGAGAAATGAACAATGTAACTGGTAAGAGTGAAGCACAAGAAGTTATCAGCTTGCTGGATTTCTGGCAGGATCGAGTTTTTTTTTTATTTTTTAGTAATATATTAAAAAATGTAAATGTCTTACGCAGGGGCGGACTGCAAAGTCATTGGGCCCCCGGGCAGTAGGAAATCGTGGGGCCCGTGTCCTCACCCACACTCAAACCACACCCAAAAAAAAAAACCTATGAAAGGTACCAGGGGCATCTCATGGGACCCCCTACTGACCCCGGGCCCTCGGGCAGTGCCCAAGTGGCTAAATGGTCGGTCCGCCCCTGGTCTTACAACCATCTGACCACCACAGGCATTCAGTTCAGGCCAAGTGTCTGGACTTCACTGGGCGCATGCCTTGAGTAGTAAAGCAGCATTCGCACAGAGAGAGAGAGGGACAGTACTGGGCTGATCCCTGGCTGTCATATGGATGCTTTATATTCAATGCTGTCCGAGTCCCTGACATGGGGCCCCTGTGTCCTCACTCCTCACCCACACCCAAAAAAAAGCCTATGAAAGGTACCAGGGGCATCTCATGGGGCCCCCTACTGACCCCGGGCCCTCGGGCAGTGCCCAAGTGGCTAAATGGTCGGTCCACCCCTGGTCTTACAACCATCTGACCACCACAGGCATTCAGGCCAAGTGTCTGGACTTCACTGGGCGCATGCCTTGAGTAGTAAAGCAGCATTCACACAGAGAGGGACAGTACTGGGCTGATCCCTGGCTGTCATATGGATGCTTTATATTCAATGCTGTCCAAGTCCCTGACATGGAACAAATAAAGAAATAAAAGGTCTGACATTTGAGTCTCTTATAAAGCTTTTTCTGGGTTTGTCTTTCAAAAGTAATATAGACACAGCCAAACAACTAGCATTTTCAGGAGACCTGCAACGGTGACCCTCATACTTCCATTCTGACACAGTCACATTAAAGATGTTTCCCTTCCCATTCAGGTGGCTTTCACAGCCCCAGTGAGTGTCGGGAACATACCCCTGAATTTACTTGAACACAAAGCACCTCAGTGACTTCAATCCAACCACCATGGATGAATTGGGGTCAGGGACAGCAGGCAACTACCTGCCCCCTGGATTCTGTCACCTCACAACGACTACGGTCACCCTCACATCTTCAATCTCTCCCTCTCTAATGGTGCCTTCCCCTCCCCTCTAAAGCATGCGCACATCACTCCCATACTTAAAAAACCCTCCCTGGACCCCACCAACCTGAACAACGTAAGACCCATCTCCCTGCTGCCATTTACCTCTAAACTCCTAGAATGCTTAGTCTACAATCGCCTGAGCTCCCACCTCACTGACAACAACCTTCTCGGCCCTTTACAGTCTGGCTTTCGCTCACTACACTCCACTGAAACTGCCCTACTAAAACTCACCAATGATCTACTAACTGCTAAAACCAATGGCCACTACTCCGTACTCATCCCAACCAATGGCCACTACTCCGTACTCATCCCAACCAATGGCCACTACTCCGTACTCATCCCAACCAATGACCACTACTCCGTACTCATCCCAACCAATGGCCACTACTCCGTACTCATCCCAACCAATGACCACTACTCCGTACTCATCCCAACCAATGACCACTACTCCGTACTCATCCCAACCAATGGCCACTACTCCGTACTCATCCCAACCAATGGCCACTACTCCGTACTCATCCCAACCAATGGCCACTACTCCGTACTCATCCCAACCAATGGCCACTACTCCGTACGCATCCCAACCAATGGCCACTACTCTGTACTCTTACTATTTGACCTCTTTGAGGCTTTTGATACGGTTGACCATCCCCTCCTCCTAAAAAAAACTCCACTCTCTTGGCCTCTGAGACTCTCTCCTGGTTCTCCTACCTGTCGCAGCGCTCCTTCAGCGTTACCTATAACTTTGCCTCTTCCTCTCCACTCTCTCTTTCTGTAGGGGTCCCTCAAGACTCCATCCTTCCTGGACCCCTACTCTTCTCCATCTACACCTCCTCCCTTGGTCACCTGATAAACTCCCATGGCTTTAAGTACCATCTCTATGCCGATGACACACAAATCTATCTTTCTACCCCTCACCTCACCCTTTCAGTCTCCTCTCGCATTACTAACCTACTAAGTGACATATCGGCATGGATGTCACTCCACTTCCTCAAACTCAATCTTTCCAAAACTGAGCTCTTCGTATTCCCCGCAGCCCGTGCCCCCTCCCCTAACTTCTCCATCAAGATCAATAATACAACCATCAGTCCCTCCCCTCATGCCAGGGTACTAGGTGTAATCCTGGACTCCCATCTGTCCTTTCAGCCCCAAATCCAATCACTGTCCAAATCATGTAGACTTCACCTCCGCAACATCTCCAAGATAAGCCCGTTCCTAACCTCTGAAACCACTAAGCAACTTATTCACTCCCTTGTTATATCTCGCCTTGACTATTGTAACTTCCTCCTCACTGGTTGACTTCATTGCAGGCTATCCCCTATTCGATCGATCATGAATGCTGCCGCCAGACTCATCCACCTAACCATTCTGTATCAGCCATCCCTCTCTGCCAATCCCTCCACTGGCTTCCCATTGCCCAACGGATAAAATTCAAAACATTAATAACATATAAAGCCATTTATAACTCTGCCCCAAATTACATCACCGATCTTGTCTCCAAATATCACCCAAACCGTACTCTCCGCTCCTCGCACCACCTCCTGCTCTCTAGCTCCCTTGTCTCCTCCTCCCATGCTTATCTCCAGGACTTCTCCAGAGCTTCCCCCATCCTCTGGAACTCACTACCCCAATTTATCAGACTATTGCCTACTCTGCTCACTTTTAGGCGATTTCTGAAAACCTATCTCTTCACGGAAGCCTATCCTACCCTCAGCTAATAATGGAATCTTCTACTCTTCCAACCAGTCCATCCCCCACAGTTACTACCTTCTGTACCACTAGCCCCTCCCTCCTAGATTGTAACTCCAAGCACCCAAAAGTGCTGCTTTAATACCATAACACCAGCAGTATGCTTATCTTAGATTGTAAGCTCCAAGGAGCAGGGCCCTCCTATCCCTCTCTGTATTGTCTCCCTTTATATTGTAAAGCACTGAGCAAACTGTTGGCGCTATATAAATCTTGCATAATAATAAAAATAATAATAGAGAATTGATTTCATTGCAGAATGCATGCAGAAAAAACGGATGTCTCTGCACCGTGGTGTGAACAAGCCCTTAAAATGATGTTTCTGGTAGAAAACACAGTAGTAATTTGAAAGTGAAAGAGGCTTTTTTCAGTTTTGCTGTTTTTTTGCAATGTAAAAAAAAACAAAATTAGCAGAAAAATAAAATAGCTAAGGGGAGGAAGGAGTTAATTAGGGCAGATTATGGTCAACTATGGGATTATAGAGGATTTTTTTTTTTTTTTTTTTTGTACTTTTAAGGTTTCTTTAACCGCTTCCCAACCGCCCTATAGCAGAAATACCGCAAGGGCGGTACGGGTGTACAAAATCACGAATATACAGTATACACATAGGTTTTTAGCAAGAGCTTAGTTCAAGAGCTGCTGCGTTTAGGTGAGGTTAAACCTCCCTCTCCTGAACGTGAAAGAATCGTGTTCAGGATAAGAACGTTTTGACAACCGACCACGGGAAAACAACGCAGCAACCGCGATACTGCGTTTTTGCCGCAATTTTCATTTTCCAGCAGCCAGAGTAGACTCATGTACATGATGCCTAAAACTTTGTTCAAGACACATTTCCAATGTATGCATTTAAAGGTTTTTAATCCCTTGGCGTCGGCGCCTCCCCGCCCTTTAACCCCTTGACGCCGACGTCACACAAATATGCGGCCTCACGGAACTGGCTTTTTTTCCGTGGGGCCGCATATTTGCGTACCTGTCCTTGTGCTGGGAGCGCACCGCTCGGTGCACTCCCAGCACAGAGACCGCGGTGTCACTCGAACGATCGGGACCCGGGGCTCCCGACTCCAGGTCACATGATCGCTGTGATAGCCTCTGATTGGCTATCACAGTGATTGGTCACTGTACAGCCCAGCCCCCTTGCTTTTTTTCTCTCTCTATGAATGGAGGAGAGAGATACATTGTATCTCTCTAACTCCTGGCATAGAGAGAAATAAAAAAATGTTTGTAAAAAAAAGATAATATATATAAAAAAAAGAAAAGAAAAAATAAAGAAAAATACCTAGATCAAGGTTTGATCTAGTTCAGTGCCACGGTTAGTGTTTGGGTCAAGGTCGGGATTTAAAAAAAAAATTGGTGTCAGTTAGTGTTAATGTCAGTGTGTTTTAGGTAAAAAAAAAAAAAAAAAAAAAAAAAAAAACAAAAACAAAATGTGCACAATTGTTTCTGGGCTGTACTACGGGTACAAACAACATATAACATACACATATATGGTATCGCTGCGATCGTCAAGAGCTGGAAAATTTATTTTGGGTTGTTCTTTGGTGGTAGGTTATGGTCATAACAAGAAACAGACAGCTAAAAATAAATAAAAGAAAGAAAGATTTTTTTTTTTACTATTTTGGGCCAGTTTTCCTTTGATAATAAAAAAAAAAATCAGGAGATATCCATTACCATTTACCACCAAAAGCCCAATTTGTCCTGAAAAAATCAACGTATAATCCACCTGGATGTACAAAGTAGTTGTGATGATATGTACTGTTTTACTATCACGTCAACGTTGCAGAATTGTGCTTAGGCATTTAGATTTGTTTTACCCTTAGGCATGAAGGGGTTAAAGGTTCCAGAAGCCGGGAGGTGGGGTTTAGGGTCATGTGACCGCCGTGATTTGCTGTCACATGTTTGGGAAAGGTCCCGATCTTCTTTCGATCGGGACCTTTCCGTGAGTACCGAACGCGTGTGCTGGGAGCGCAGAGGGTGCGCACTCTCAGCACTTTTTTTGTTTTAAAAGAACGCAAATGTGCAGCCGCTCGGCGTCTAGGCCCAGACGCCGGGAAGCTGCACATTTGCATTCGGCCAGCACCAAGAGGTTAAAGTACTGCATGTCAAGCGAGATCTTTTGGGGGGATAGACACTGGAAGAGCAGGAAGCAAAGGTAAAGGGAAATGTACAAGTCGGAGGGCACCTAATGTGAGGATGGGGGGGGGGGGGGGGGGGTTTGATATCTTAGTAAAACTCTGCAATATCCATAATGAATCTCTGAATAGTCTATTGGCGATTTAATGATGTCCACACAGCGGGACTTACTGCTGCTTCCTTGGGCTCCGTCTTTGTTTCTTTTGGAGGCTCCTGGGCTTTGGATGCAGGGCGTGAAAACATTCCCATGATGCCCTTAGGTTGCGGAGCAGCCACTTTAGCAACGGGGGGTGATGCGTGTCCATTGATGCGGGAAGTGCTGGTTACTTCTTGCGTCGTCGGACAATTTACTCTTTGAAGCTGCGCAATCTCCTCAGGAGAACGTGGGACGGCGGCTGGACAATGGATGGCGCTGAACCTGAGACAAGGTGATAAAATGGTCAAGATCTGACATGTAGCATAAATCTCCCCATTTCCTATCTCTGTTGAGAAGGCCTCACCCGTGCAAAGGTCCGTCCGTTGCGGTCACGGGATGCACATGTGTTCCATGCCTCTGTGTGCAGGCAGACCCATTCATTCAAAAACAAATAATCTGCGCTTAGGTAAATAAACTAATCTTAAAAAAATAACATAGAAAAGCAGCTCACGCATTAAGCAATAAACAGAATAGTAAAAAATACAAAAATGCAGCGCTAATCAAAAAAAAACATAGTCCAATAAAACATAAAAATGCCAATAAAAAAAAATCCCATAAATTATTCCACCATCACCAGGACACCCGAATAGTTCAGTCTCTCACCAGAATTTCTGACCAAAACACACCGGTCAGTATAGGCAACTCAAATGGGAGACGAACATGTAAATCATGGGACCAGCAATCCTCATCCAGGGGGATATCAATCTTCCCCTTTAAAGATCTGAAGTCGGTCCTAAAAGAATACTCTCATCCAATATATTTAACCACTTCCCGTCCGGCTCATGTATATAAACAGCCGGACAGGAGCAGTGCAGGGGCGGGTGGCCGTTTATAAACGGCCTCCCCGCCCCCTGCTTGTGGGCGCTCCCTGGGAGTACGCAGCACCGCGATCCGGTGCCCGCTGTGTCCTCCAGACACAGAGGAACACCGATTGTTGTACGGAACCTGTGTGAGGCCCCGATCATGTGATCACTGATTGGCCAATCAGTGATCACATGCAGAGTAGTAAGCAAAATGTCACTTCTGATATCATTGCTTACTACGTGTGAAATCTGTGAATGATCAGAGAGAAGGAGAAATGATTGCTTTTACAGCCTTTATGGGTGTAAAAGCAATCAGTGTAAAAAAAAAAAAAAAAAAAAAAATTCATTACCCCCCACAAGTAGTACAGTGTCACTATAGTGACACTGTACTGCTAGGGTGACAGTATGTAAAAAGAAAAAAAAACAAAAAAAAAACAAAAAAACAACCATAATATAAAAAAAATTAAAAATGTAAATCTTTTTTTAAAAAAATTATAAATTTGGTTATAAGCAAATTTGGGTTATTTTATTTTTGCTAAAAAGATAAATAAATACATTTTGGCCAAGATTTATGAAAAAAAGATTATTTATTTGCAAAATTTTATAAGAAAAACACTTAAAAATTTTTTTGGACTTTTTCATTTATATAGCAAAAAAAAATTAAAAAATAAAAGTCCCAGTGGTGAATAAATACCACCAAAATAAAGCTTTATCTGTCTCAAAAAAATGAATACAGTGTTGCATGACGGCACAATTGTCAAAGTGTGACAGCGCTGAAAGCTGGAAATTGGCCCGGACAGGAAGGGGGTAAAAGTGTCCGGACTGGAAATGGTTAAATACAGGATAAAAGAAAAAGGCCACTCATAGTGTCGTATTTCAGTAATAAATTCACCCTGTTTAATTTCAAGTTACTCATACATTGTTTCGGATGGTTACCAGCATTTGAATTAAGTTTCCAACCAAGAAATGGCTGCCATCCCTCCTAAAAAACGGTGCAGCTTCGGTGTGACACGTCATCACTTTTTTTGGAGGGATAGCGGCCATTTTCTTGGTTGGAAACTTAATTTAAATGCTGGTAACCATCCAAAACAATGTATGAGTAACTTGAAATTAAACAGGGTGAATTTATTACTGAAATACTACACTATGAGTGGCCTTTTTCTTTTATCCTGTATTTAAATACTGGATGAGAGAATTCTTTTAGGACCGACTTCAGATCTTTAAAGGGGAAGATTGATATCCACCTGGATGAGGATTGCTGGTTCCATGATTTACATGTTCGTCTCCCATTTGAGTTGCCTATATTGACCGGTGTGTTTCGGTCAGAATTTCTGGTAAGAGGCTGAACCATTCAGGTGTCTTGGTGGATCGTGGAAATATTTTTTGGGACCTTTGTATTGAAGTCCCATTCACTGTCAATCCCTGGCTACACAGAAACAGCGGCTGCTCCCAATGGGCAGCACAGCGGGCTAAACGGTTAGCACTTCCACCTGGCAGTACTAGGGTCATTGGTTTGAATCCCAGCCACGGCACCTCCTGCCTGGAGTTTGCATGTTCTCCCTGTGCCTGCGTGGGTTTCCTCCGGGTACTCCAGTTTCCTCCCACACTCCAAAGACATGCTGGTAGGTTAATTGGCTCCTGTCTACATTGGCCCTAGTATATGTATGTATGAATGTGAGTTAGGGACCTTAGATTGTACACCCCTTGAGGGTTAGGGATTGATGTGAATGTACAATATATATATATATATGTAAAGTGCTGCGAAAAATGGATGGCGCTATATAAGTACCTGAAATAAATAATTAGTCATCTCTGTGGGTGCAAGAACCCAAACTCACGCCGTCTGCGTTCTAGGACTTGTACCTGCATGGATGTCAAAAAAGTGTGCAGCGCCTGTGTCTGTGCAGCCGCTGCATCCCAACTGACAATGAACAGGACAGCCTGCACACAGAGGCATGGAACACAGGTACATCCCCTGTGGGCAATCACTCCCCCCGCACAGGTGTATGTGTTAGTACGCCTGTATGAATGAGGCCTAATCCAGAAGCAGCGAGGCGCTCATCACATACTTGTTACAGTTCTGGAGATTATTCTTCACAATGTCATAGTCGGTATTGAACAGAGGAGCGCTGTCCTTTAATGTGGCTTTCTGCACGCTATACACATGGATGTTAGCCACCACCGCCAGCTTGGATTTGGCTGCTACAAAAACAAAATGGCATAATAAGAAAATGTAACTTTATTTAAAATAAACACGTGATGAAAAGAACAAATTACACTGCATGTACCTTCAAGCTTTTCCTCCTTCACTACTGCCACCTTGTGGTACTGAAACGACAGTCAGCAGAGAACAAATGAAAGGAAGCACAACATTACAATGAGCCAATCTACATGTAAACAACTTATTGTAAACCTATCCTGGGGAGTTATGGGGGAGCTGCCATTGCCACCGTCCTCTGAGAAAGCAAATTATTATAATTTTTTTTTTCTGTTCTTTTTATTCCATTTTAAAAGTTTAGAAATCTACAAAACAGAGCCTATAGGGCATACCCAGACTCGGTACTGCACTTTAACCACTTCCCGTCCGGCCGTTGTATATAAACGGCCGGACGGTGGCAGTGCAGGGGCGGGTGGCCGTTTATAAACAGCCTCCCTGCACCCTGCTTGTGCGCGCTCCCTGCGATCCAGCCCGCGATCCGGTGCCCGCTGTGTCCTCCGGACACAGTGAAACACCGATCATCGGACGGGACCTCTGCACGAGGTCCCGATCATGTGATCACTGATCACATGCAAAGTAGTAAGCAAGATGTCACTTCTGACATCATTGCTTACTACCTGTGAAATCTGTGAATGATCACAGAGGTCACATGGTACAAGGCTATTCACAACAGCCTTGTACCATGTGACAAGCTGTGACCAATCACAGCTCACTCAGTACTTCTCAATGAGTGCAAGAATGCAGACAGAGAGAAAGAGAAATGATTGCTTTTACATCCTATATGGGTGTAAAAGCAATCAGTGTAAAAAAAAAAAAAAAAAATCATCACCCCCCACAAGTAGTACAGTGTCACCATGGTGACACTGTATGTAGGGTGACAGTATGTAAAAAAATTAAATAAAAAATAATAAAAAATAAAATAAAAATGTAAAAAAAAAATGTTTAAAAATTAGAATTTTTGGTTATAAACTAATTTTTTTTTTTTTTTTTTACTAAAAACATAAACGGAATAAATTTTGGCAAAGATTTATGATGAAATATTATTTATTTGCAAAATTTTATGAAAAAAACACTTTTTTTCAAAATTTTTGGACTTTTTCATTTAAATAGCAAAAAAAAAAATAAAAATCCCAGCGGTGAATAAATACCACCAAAACAAAGCTTTATCTGTCTCAAAAAAATGGTAAAAAATTCATTTGGGTACAGTGTTGCATGACCGCGCAATTGTCATTCAAAGTGTGATAGCGCTGAAAGCTGAAAATTGCCCTGGTCAGGAAGGGGGTAAAAGTGTCCGGACTGGAAGTGGTTAACAAAGTTACAAACTAGTAATTGCCAAGAACAAAACAAACGGTACGTTCAGCCCTGGTTCACACCGATGCGGTGCAGAATTTCAGCGTTTTCAGTGCGAATTCTGCAGCGCATCAGAATTGCATCCCGTTCATGCGAACTGCTGCAGGTGTGTGTTAGTTAACAACACCCCGAAATCGGTCCGCAAAACGCGGTGCGCTGTGCAGAATCAGATCGCATAGGTGTGAATACCCATGTGATCCAATTCTAGTGCGGACCCAAAAAAGGGTCCTGCACCTTTTTGAGCGGGTGCAGTGAGATAAGAGCAATACAAAATGTATGGCTCCGATCGCACACAAATTGCATGTGATTTGCACAGGAATCTGGTGCGGTTCCTGTGTGAATCAAATGCATGTACACACCGCATGAGGGTGAACCTTTAATGTGAACCTATCTTGGGAGTTATGGGGGAGCTGTCATTGCCACCATCCTCTGAGAAAGCAAATAATTATGTATTTATTTTTATTCTTTTTATTCGATTTTAAAAGTTTAGAAATCTACAAAACAGAGCCTATAGGGCATACCCAGACTCGGTACTACTTTAACAAAGTTACAAACTAGTAAAAGCCAAGAACAAAACAAACGAACAGTACATTTAGCCTGGGTTCACGCTGATCCGGTGCAGAATTTGCAGCGTTTTCTGTGCGAATTCAGAATCGCACCCCATCAGAATCCGGTGCGGATGTGTATGTTAAATTAACAACATCCTGAAAGCAGTCCGCAAAATGCATTGCGATGTGCAGAATCAGATCGCATAGGTGTGAATACCCATGTGATCAGATTCTACTGCGGATCCAAAAAAGGGTCCTGCACATTTTTGGTTCGGTTGCGGTGCGAATTAAATGTATGGCTCCGATCGCACTGCACACAAATCGCATATGATTTGCAAAGGAATGCGGTGCGGTGCGGTTCCTGTGCGAATCACATGCGATGTACTGCACCGCATATATCTGAACCCGGGCTAAGTCACTATGTAGGAGTCTGGAACATTCCCTAGACACCAAAAACTCAGAGTTAGCATGCCATCCAGGAATCCAACAGAAATGACAACTCCAGCGCATCTGTAATCGTTTATCAACATATCATCATAGAGCTCCATGGGATCATCAGAGAATATCACTTAACTAGTGCCGACTGCAGATAGCCAAATGATGGCTGCAGTGTGGCCGGCCAGTTCTGGAAGGGCGTCATATGACGTCCTCCCAGAATGCGCTCTACTGTGCGCCCCCCCGGGGCGCGCACCCAGCGATCTCCATAAACGATGTGTCCTACGGACACAGCTGATCACGTCATGTGGTAAAAGGCCAATCACAGCGGCCTTTTACCACGTGATCATCCGTGTTCAATGACACGCTGATCACCAGGAAATGCAATTGCCGGTTCTCGGCTGCACTTTCCTCACGCTGTCAGAGCAGGGATCGGCACCGATCATCAGGGCACTGATGATCAGTGCCCTGATGATTGGTGCCCAGCAGTGCCACCCACCATTTCTGCCCACAAGTGCCCAGCAGTGCCGCCAGTTAGTGCCACCTCATTAGTGCCGCCTATCTATGCACCCTATCCATGCCGCCTATCAGTGCCCATCCGTGCCGCCTATCGGTGCTGCCTATCAGTGCCCATCAGTGCAGCCTCATCAACACACATCAGTGAAGGAGAAAAATTCCCTGTTTGCAAAATTTTATAATAGAAACTAAAACATTTTTTTTTTTTTTTTTAAATGCTCTTTTTTTGTTTATATTGCAAAAAGTAAAACACCCAGCAAGTAAATACCACCAAAAAGAAAGCTCTATTTGAGAGAAAAAAATGATAAAAATTTCATATGGGTATAATGTTGCATGACAGCACCGAAAGCTGAAAATTAGCCTGTTAAGGAAGGGGGTAGAAGTTCCCGGTAGGCAAGGGGTTAAACCTTCTCAAGCTACATGGAAGAATCCTGCTCCACATTCGTGGATGGAGAGTCTACCCAAATATCCCAGACCTTATGGAACTTGTGGGGACATCCCCGAGATAGGTAAGTAGCCTTATACAATGAGATCATAGAATGAATTAACCTCTTCCAGCAATTAGAGGGAGGAGCATCTGGAGATTTCCATTTCAGCACTATAGCTTTCCTAGCATAAAACAAAGATTCCTAATAAGGTTCAGGAAGCTCTACTGTGTGCCGGAGAATCGACCAGAACCAACAGAAATACAGGAGGATATAAAAAGTCTACACACCCCTGTTAAAATGTCAGGTTTCTGTGATGTAAAAAAAATGAAACAAAGATAAATATTTTCAGACCTTTAACCACTTGCTGACCGCAGATAGCCAAATGACGGCTTCACTGCGGCCGGCCAGTTCTGGGATGGAGTCATATGACCATGCCTCTTACTAAATACTTTAGACTGTCTATTTTCCAAAAATGGGTAATTTGTTGGGTATTTGTACTATGCTTGCGTTCTCAGGCCTCAAGAAATGAGATTGGACGTCATGTACATTGATTGATTGTCAGATATATGTACCATGGTTTGTGGACTTTAGAACTTTCCTACAGACTGAATAATATACACTAATTTGGGGTATTTTCACCAAAGAAATGTAGCAGAACACATTTTGACCTAAATTTATGAAGAAACGTTATTTGCAAAATTTTATAACAAAAATAAAGAAAAAGGATGCAGCATGTTATCGGAAAATACAGTCGCACAATTTGCATTCTTCTGCACGAAACTTGCGCATGGAACGCTCTTGGACTTTCCGGCATGAAAATGGCCCTCAGCACAAGGCCACGTTGACCCTCCAGTGATTACAGCAGAAAAAGGTGAAGGTTCTGGAGTGGCCATTACAGTCTCCTGACCTTAATATCATCGAGCCACCCTGGGGAGATCTCAAATGTGCGGTTCAAACAAGATGACCAAAGACTTTGCATGATCTGGAGGCATTCTGCCAGGACGAATGGGCAGCTCTACCACCTGCAAGTGCTGGGGGCCTCATAGATAACTATTACAAATGACTGCACATTGTCCTTGATGCTAAAGGGGGCAATACACAGTACTAAGGGATGCAGAATTTTGAAAAGGGGGTATTTCATTCGTTCACTTCTTGCCATGATCTGTTTTATGATTGTGCCATTCTGTTATGACCCCCAGTTACAGAATATGAATCCCATAAGGAATAACAAGAAAGGTGTTTTATCTGATCACTCATGTTTTCTTTAACCACTTGCCGCCCTGCCACTGTAGAAATACGGCGGCAGGGCGGCATGGGCAGGCAAAACCACGTTTTAAAACATGTGTTTTGTAAACAGGTAGGGGGCGCGCCGCCGCCCTGCTTGTCCCGCCGATCACAGCCGCGGATGTCAGTCTCCGGGTCACAGCCGGTCCTTACCAGCTATGACCCGGCGATCGGCGGCAATCAGTGACAGAGAGCACAGCTGGAGTAGCTGTGCTATCTGTCAGTTCCCTGACAGCTCGAGAACACGTTGATCGGGACAGAAGAGTTTCCTTCTCCTTCGATCAGCGGTGTTCCCTGCAGTACACACCCCCGCCCCCTAGTAAAACACTCCCCTCACTCAGATAACCCTTCCCTGCAAAATAAAGTTAACCCCTTCCTCCCCAGTGCCTTTAGCACAGTGTCAGTGTTTTTTTTTTTTGCACTGATCACTGTATTGGTGTCACTGGGGATTTCAGTGACCCCAAGTCAGTACCCCCCAATGTCAGAATGTCCGCCGCAGTCCCGCCATAAGTCACGATCGCCGCCATTATTAGTATAAAAAAAACCTAAAAATCCCAGTATCTTTCCCGCCATTTGTAAACGCTATAACTTTCACGTAGACCAATTAATTTACACATATTGGGTTTTTTTTGTTTACCAAAGACATGTCGCAGAATGCATTTTGGCAGAAATTTATGACTAAATTTGATTTTTAAATTTTTTTTTACTGGACATGTTTTATAGCAAAAAGTCCAAAATATTGTTTTTTCCTCAAAATTGTCATCCTTTTTTTTTATAGCGCAAAAAATAAAAAACCGCACAGGCGATCAAATACCACCAAAAGAAAGCTGAATTGGTGGGGAAAAAAAAGATGTAAATTTCAATTATGTACCATATTGCATGACCGCGCAATTGTCCATGAATGGCGTAAAAACGGCGTAAATTGCAGTATCTATACCATAGTTTGTAGACGCTATAACGTTCACAAAAAGCAATCAATATACACCTATTGGGATTTTTTTTTTTAACCAAAAACATGGAGCAGAATACATTTTGGCCTAAATTTATAACCAACTTTGAGTTTACTATATATTTTTTTATAGCTGAAAGTAAAAAATATTGTTTTTTCTTCAAAATTTTTGGCCTTTTTTTGTTTATAGCATGAAAAATAAAAAGCGC